GTGGCACATTCCCAGACGTTTTGCCCGCATGGTAGTCGGCATCGTCAGTAAGTCTTGCTATTCTTACCACCACACTAAAACTCGTCAAAAGACACAACTGAATGCGATCCTTTGTCTAAACGTGTGCTAAACAGTTGTGGTATCTTCCCTTCTGCCCTAGCTATTTACATTTCCTATATCCTCCTATCACGCCTTCACTGTTACAATTTTTGCAGTGCTTATTTCGATGTAGTGTGGTGTGGTTCTTTAGCGGCATTCATGAAAACCCTTCACACTCCACACTGTCGCTCTCACCCCCTTCACTCTTTTGCTGGGAATGCTGATTAGTCGGCCATATTGTTACGCAGTGTTCCTTTCCTAGTTCTTATCAATGTCTCTATTTTGCCTCGTAAGATCCTTCTGCTCTCTCCCTGTTTCACGTATTTCATTCGACTCCTGCCACTCCATCTGTGCTACTCGAGGCGTTATTTGCCCTTCCCTGCGTCTGGGTAACTAATTCGAAGCTCAAGTCTCTGAGTAAGTCTCATCGTCAAGCCTTTGCTACATGGACCACGTCTCTGGTAAGACCCACTGTCAGCCAACTAGTTCCAGTCTCCGCCGCGTCTATCCTGTTGCTATCCATAGTACCAAGTTTATGTCTTGTTATGCCTTAATCTCTTGTGTGGTAACCCACAAATGTTGTGGTATTGCTTGCTTTGGTTAGGTTTATTGTTTACCCACAACGTTTGTGGGTTGGCACATAAGAGACTGGGGCATAGGAAGTCGTAGACTTGGTATTATAGTTAGAAAGAGTATAGAAGCAGTGTAAAACTAGAGCTAGTTGGCTAAGAATAGTCGTGATTCAAGGATCACGTCTATGTTTAAACACGTCTATTTTTAGCCAAATAGCTTTAGTCTCCACCGCGTCTTTACTGTTTCTATCTGTAATACCATGTCTATCACTTCCTATCTCCTAGTCTCTTGTATGTCAACCCACAATTGTCGTTTTACTTGTTTTCATTAGGCTCACTGATGACGTCTGTTTCTGATTGTTCCTATTTCGTCCCCTTGCGATTTATTTTCCTAAAATTAAGGTTATTATCTTGATCCAGTCGTCTTCTTTTAGCTTATCTTACTGTTGCCTGGTCTTCTTCGAGTTTGTTTAGTCAATATGCAAAGCTTTCGCTGATCCTGCCTTTTTCAAGTCTCCTGTTTATTAGATTTAACTCGGTCAGTATGTCGATGGCCTCTCGAATCTTGCGTTTTCTAGTATTTTCACCATATGCAACCAAACTTATGCTCGATTTTCAGTCGATTTCGTGTCCTATTCGTGCAATGTGTTCCGCTATTTCGAATCTTTTCGTTTTTATGTTCCTGCAGAGTCCTTGCTGTTCCTTGATTCGTATTACGATTTTTCTTCCTCTTTCACCAATTTACTTCTGTTCACAGTTGCCGCATTTGATGCGATAAACTCCTGAGCAATCAAATTTATCCGTCTTCTCGTGTTGCGTCGCAGACTTGTGAAAAGCGTTTTTTTCTCCTTTGTTATTACCTTAATATTCCATTTCCTTAGTAACGGTTGCAATTTATGGCTCAGTTATAATGAGGGCAGGCAAATCTACATCTGGTCGTTCTGATCCCTGATCTGATTTCCATAAAATCCGAGTTTAAATTTGCCCTTTATAACCTCTACATTTTTTATATAAATTATCTGGGGTATCGGCGGACGGTTCGACGGTTGTGGATAGACTGCCTTTTATATGCAGTCGATGCAATATTTTTAATATCAGATGTATTGACTCTATTTCGTTTAAGGTGATGAATGACTGGTAGTAGAATTTTCCCACAATTATATGAGTAGAGCTGACATTTTCATTGAATTTCACATTTCCTTGATTTTCCAAAAGTTATTCCGATCCAGGGTGGACTGCATTTTCGACTTCGCATCGGTCTTATGAACACCCCCAGCGAAACTCGAACCGTGACAGTGTAGAATGGTAGCTTGAAACGCTAACCACTCGGCCACATTGCCATAAGTGCCTTTGGGTCACAGGGCATAAGTGAATTTCAAGGAAGGTCAGGTCTTTTGCCATATCATATTCTTGTGCGATTGCCGATGAAGCAAATGTATATTTGCTCTAACAATCGACTACGTTACTTATTTTCGTATTTGAGTAGAGTTTCTAGACTCTTATATTACTGATTTACTGGTAGTCTCGAAGCTCTACTCAAATACGAAAACGATATTTTTAATATTTCATCTTTACATTTATTGAAAAATGTCACTCATTTTTCTTTAAAATAACTTATTACTATTTTTTAGCTAAATTGTTTCTTGCTTTATCCTTGAATTTTGCGACCTTATTCGTATTTCTATATTGTTTATTCCTTCAGAGATTTTTTTCTAAAATATGGCTGACGTCTCTCCTGTCCTTATTTATTTTCCCTATTCGCTGACTTATAAAGATTTTCAATTCCCATCATCGTTTGAAGTGATTGAAAGGGCATCCTTGTTTAGACAGTCTCGGAGGCCCTGAATATCTATCTTAATTAGCTTACCAGTGACATTTCGTAATAAATGTCACTTATTCCGATACTAAATATTGGTTATACTGAAAACATTAGCTCAATACGAACTAAGTGTATTTAAACTTTTTTACTATTTATTTGATGCACGATTTAACTTTAATGTTAATGCATAAACTTTCTCAGTAGGATCATCAACACTCAAATGTAATTTTAGCTATCTCATTCATCATAAGCCTTTTTTAATGCACAATTAAATTTTAACATCTCTAATAAGTAACTTAATTGTGATGCACTTAACTAACAGGACCACGCGATTCCTATTTTACTAGTACAATCTAGTAAAAAAATTTCGCTTATTTCACATTCTCTTCTCTTATTGTATTCCATACCTTTGTAAGTTGACATCGTGTGTATTTTAGAACCCAGTCGCAAGCCTGCTTTCTTGTTTTTTAGATTCCCTTTATTTTTTGAAATTCATTGCTTTTAAAATGTCCTACTTAGAAATAAGCTAATTTACATCACTGACGACTGATGGAAGATGGTATTTGGTTGTTTTGCATTTTTATTTGCAATCGTCACCTAACTCGCATTAGCCTAGGAAGCGGTATACTTGTTGCATTTTGCGAACTTTTGCTGAACTATTGTCTGTTTTCTGACATATTTTGATAGCAGAATTTTAGGCACCTTTCACATTGGTCCAAGAAAGCTGGCGTTAAAGAATCATCCTAGACATAATTTAAACATGTTCGCTGTATTAATTCAAATTTATTTTAAGGTAATGAAGTACGGAAAGTTGAAGCTTCCCGCAATGATAGTGCTTAAGCCACACATTTCCAATGAATTAGCTAGAGCTTTGTTTCCCAAAGGTATTCTACTCCAGGATGGACTGAAGTTTCAATCCTGGATCTTCTTAACCCAGCGGCACTCTAGCCCGGGTAGTGTAGCTTGTAATCTTGACATGCTAACCATAAGTATCCTTAGTTCACAGGAAAAACTTACATTTTAAGACGAGACAAGACATTACTAAATTTTGAGTCCCGCTATGGGTGCGGATGAGACATATGTGAGGTTGAAACTGCTTTTCACCTTGGATAAGAATACCTTCTGAGAATTCAATTGAAACGGGAGACACACTTATATCGTTAAGAAAAAATTCAACTGCTAGTCTTTTATTTTATTAGGCAAAATCAGTCGTCCCACTAGAAGACAACGGCGGATTTGTCTTGACCAGCTGTTGATTGGCTGTATAGGAAGATTCTTGTTGACGTTATTTTTGAGGTAATCTCTTTCGATTCTGGTTAAAACGTACTAAGCTCTCGTCTGTCGTATGACGAACATCTTCGTAGCCAGAGTTTAATCATTATAACCGAATTCATACTAACGAGCCTCGAGTTTACTTGTGCACTTGTATTTTCTTGACGTTTAGAGCTCTGATTTGCAGGCAGACACAAAAACAAAAGTACTTAAATCAAAATCAGATATAGCCAATCATATCATTCCATATATGCCCATATACATTTTTTCGGCTTTTAGTTTTGAGTTATTCCAAGGGATATATGTGACAATATGTGTGCTCTGGTCCTTTAATTGATCTTTTATATATTGAATGGACTTCATTCTTTCCATTCGTTTCGCCTTTATACTGGGCAGGAGTCTTCTTGCTGATTATCTAGAATTCGATGCCAGTAGGGCGTCAGAATTTTTTTTGAGGATTTGATACTTTACTAACTACAATTTTAGGTGAAGTACAGTTCACTTTGACATAAGACAGATAGAGACCATAATCAAACAAAATACCATTTATACCTACTTAAAGTTTCATGTTCTTGTTAAACCACCTTTGATTTGTTTTTTAACCACAGGCCTAAAATCCATCCTTTTCTCCACTTTTAATTCATTTGATATACTTCAACAATAATTATCTACACTTTAGCCTCGTATTCCTAAAGGACCTTTGGACCTGAATAATTCATTTGGTTCCTCTTCTATATATTATAGGTGTTTTCCAATAAAGACATCTGCATTTTTTAATCATAATTAACTCTTGCCTTTTCACTAGATGATTGAAAGCTTAAAGAAAGAGCAGCACACCTGGAAGCGTCAGTCAAAGCTGGCAAGTTTATCCAGTGTATTTGGGCACCCCGTCTCCTGGCGCTGGCTATCGCCTCTACATCCTCCGCCGCCTCTTACGCCTTGCATTCCTTTAGCACAGAGTGGTTTAGGCGATACCGAGGATCTGCTTGCTGTCGTCACACCCAGCCTCACGACGAATGGTACTACGGGGGTGCCTTTACTTGGTTTCAGGAACGAGGCTACTACTGCTGTAACTGTAAACGGCAAAGACTGCGACAGTTATGCATCACTGATTGATGCTATCCCCACAGGAGCATCCGATTCACGAAATTGGGCTGGCCAGTCTTATTCGCCTCGGGAATCTCGTCTTTTACTTCCTGGACAAGCTGTGCCCAGTCAGCTCCTGACCACTCACTATCCTCCATCTTCCTCGATCGTTGCCTCGACTAGTTCTTCTGAACTCGGATCCTCTCTTTTATTGCTGCCACCCGATTCATCTAACGACAAATTCAAGGCTACTTCAACGACGGACAACCCTGGTTTATCTACGGACAACATTACTCATGGACATGGCTTCGAGTCCTTACGCTATTCGTATAATATTTAATATATGTGTCTAATTACTTTTCCTTGTATCTCAGACTGAATCCTTGTGTCTAGCCCTTTAGTTGTCGCTTTTTTCACAACTTTTCCTATTTATCTGTCTGTATCTCTGTCCTCTTTCCATCTAAAGTTTTATCCCTGATACGTTTGTATGTATGTGGAATAACTATTCTTCGATCTGTCTGGCCAATCAATCAACTTCTGCTTTTTAGCAGACTTTGTTCTAGCCATCCCTCTCTTATTAAACTCAACCATGTGTGCATCGTTGCATATTTCTTAGCTTTATCGACTGTTTGCCATATCACTTTTTAACCCCCCTTATTTAACCTTCTTTAATCTCCATTTTTACCGTTACGGTACTATTTCCATTCCCTATTTTCCTTGGTTACG